GTGGAAATGTTGGTGCATCTTATACGCCAAATACAGCCATTTTTGGCCTCCCAAAGCCCCACCTCTGCAAAAACAGAGGCTTTTTTGCCTTACCCCAGCCCTGCTGAAGCCTGCAGAGTGCTACTGGGGGCTGAGGGAAGGCAAAAAAAGCCTCAGTTTTTGCAAAAAAACTGCCTGTTTTTCGCAAATAACAGGGACATTTTTGCCTTGCCCCAGTGCTGCTGAAGCCTGCAAGAGCTGCTGGGGACTCAGGGAAGGCAAAACCTTTTTTTTTTCCTTACTTACTTCTTCAAAATCTTGGTGTGTCTTATACACTGGTGCATCTCATAGTCTGAAAAATATGGTATATCATTATGAGTATAAAAGAGTTGCCTAAAGTTTTTGATTTATCCATTTTTAGTTGAAAGTCTGAAAGAAAGCATCTTACTTTATTTTATTTTTTGGGTCTTACCAGGTGCTTGGATCAATCGTGGTTTGGGAATGGTAAAGAACATCAATGATCACTTAGTATGGACATATACTGCTCCAAGTCTGGGATATTGGATAGCAGCCCCATTGTCTGGAACCAGAGGTAAAACTGGAGAATTTGACATTGTTTTATGTCTGCCTTAATTTTTATTACTTTCATAAAGTCAGAACGCAGGAACTAGAAGTCTAATTCTTCCCAAATTTAATTGGGATGATGAGATTTTTCTCTTGTTTTTATGTGGAAGGTGAAGTTTCTTTAGGCTTATGAAATATGACTTTGGGTCATAAAACAATATTCATTCCAATATTCCAGATGATGCCAAGGTAAATGCAATTAGATATTACAAGATATGCAGATTTATATTAGTAAACATTTGCATCACATGGTAATTCAGTTCCTAACAGAAGCCTAGGAAAGAGTTCCTAGAGTGAAGCAATGTCCTATTTAGAGTACATGTTGCAAAATTGAATATGCATGAGCTTCACGCTCAGATCCAGTCTGTTCAGGTTGTATATTAATTTTTTGCTTGAATGTGAATCAAACCTTCAGCAGGAAGGACAAGTGCATGTGAATATAGTATGCCTTACTTGTATAATATGACTCAGATCTATGTATCTTGTTGGATTAATGCTCTCTATATACAGGTAATGATTTTATTAACATTTGTAGGCCGCCCTTTTCCCT